ATTATCGTCAGTATCTTCATTCAGCCTCTACGAATGGCCGTGAAAAAATGCTGGAAGGCACTGACAGGTAAAGCATGAAAACAGTTATCCTGCAAATTCGGAGGCGTGCATCCCTAAGTCATACGTGTGTGCTTGGAGGATCTGAAGTGTGGCTGTAAATTCAGGCTCTTCTGTTTTCCAATAAATCGAATTTCGTGTAAGTAAAGAATGGTTTTCCTGGAATTTATAAGCGAGTTCAGCAAGACGTAAATGAAGTGCAATATCAGACTTAATCCAATCACCATCTCACGGACTTAGCGATTGCACCAGTTTGACGCTAAAATTAAGCAAATGCGAAATGGTAGTGGTATATAGGGATTTTTAGAAACAAACGATATTGGGGCAATGGGTAATGGAAGAGCTGAATACATGCCTACGTCAAGGAAGTGCGAAAACTGAACCACTCCGATGGGGTGTAACATTTGGGCGAATTATAATTGCACATAGGAAGTGATATCAGCTCAGCTCTATCTTCACAAAATTGGTGCGCGATATGAGCAGGGGAAATGTGTTTTTTTTAATTTTCGTATACGCGAGGGATGCTGATAACCTCCGAGAATTTCACAAAATCTTTACTCTGAATGTGACAGGAACTGTTTGTTTTCTGCCATAGCGGCGAAGAGCAGCCGAATTAGTTCCTAGCCGTAGCAGACGAAAATGGACGGGTTCATAATCGACATCTTATAGCGTTTTCTTCCGATACTTTGCCTGTTACTAAAGATAACGTGCCAAACTGAGTACTATCTCCGCTGGAACTGTTTATAGGGAGTGTGTAATTGGCGCACTCCCTTCTTCATCACCTGACTTGTTCCTATGGCAAGAAAATGTCAGTGCGATCGGAAGTGGACTTGAACGCTCTTCTACTCGACAGTTCGACCTTCTTTTCGGCGATGTTCAACGTGTGGAAGAAACTTGTATGGGCGCAGGGACGGATAGGTCGATGCTTTACGTAACATACTGGGAGCACAAGTACGAACTTAAAGGCCCCTACCTGCGTTTCACCGGTATCCTGCAACTGCTTGACGCAGCTGTGAGGTCGCCGGCCCCCAGCAACTTCCGTCTGATTTCCGGTTCATACACCACTTTTTAACTTAAAACTTTTAAATTTCATTAGAATTTAATTTTTGATATTGGTCTAGCTTACTGCACTCAGAAGATGAATTGGCGAACATATGTTTGTTTTCGATAGATTTTCTATGATAATTAAGTAAATAAACAGCCGGCGGTTTATCACCTCGGCCGACTACCAGTCCCCTCTAACGCTAATCAGATTTTGACCCCAATTCTTCCCGCCTTCCCCCTCCCATGACAACCGTACTATTTTTCTTGCCGATCCGCATAGTTTGTTTACTTAATTACCACATAAATGAAAAGGCCTGATGAGAATTTATCAAAAAAACGTATGTTCGCCAATTCATCTTCTGAATTTATCAAAGGGAATTTTCGCAAATTTAAGTCAATCCATAGCTTTCTGTTCTCAAGGTCTATAGGTTAAGACCGAAATTTGATGATGTGGTGAACTCAATTAGCCACTGCGGGATAACTACGTAATGTACAAAGGCTGCCGGCGTGCAGATGGTAGTGTAAACTGATGTTGTAATTTAATGTAGTGACAGCCCAGGTACTAGCTAAAACCCCACACACGGATTTCACCGGTATTCTGTGCTGCTCGACATCTGCGAGGTTCCGGCTCGTCAGTGAGTCTGAAGGATACGAAGTAGTTTGGCCGGATAATAGAAGATAGAACGCATCCTAAGAGTTATGAACTAGCGGATAAGGTAAGTCGTGGAATGCCAGAGTTTAATGGATAATTTACTTAACTGCTGAAGTAGTAGAATGTAAGTAATAGGTAAGTGACTCTCAGACGAGTGCAGTCCAGCCATGAGCGGGCCAGAGTCCAGAGGTGCATTCCAGCGGGTGTATTCACCGGGTCCGGATTTGTGCAATCGACCCTAATTTCGCCGGTTCCGGGAGTGTCTGAGCGTAAGCAGTCAAAAGACCAAGGTCCTTTGTGGACTGGCTTTGGGAAGTGGTTAGCCATTTAGGTCGGACAGACATGTCCGTGACCTTAACCTGTCTTTGACACGCTTGGATGCGCACGTGCTTACTGGACACGGGTAACAGGCCTGCCCGACATACCCCAGAAACGCGCGAGCAGAGCATGGCTTAGAATACGAAGTCGCTAGATGTCCCTCAGCATTTCCCGTTTGCTCTCTGGCGGAATAGGAAAGTAAAACGCTGCACTTTAGACACCGTTATGTCAACCAGCAAGTCAATTGGAAAATCTGGGAACCCACTGATGAACCGGAGCCCTGCAAACATGTCAAGCAATCAATGTATTACTGGCAAACGTTAGGACCGCGAGGTACGCGTATTTCTGGGTAATTTCCCTTCGTCAGTCGCGGACACCTGACTCCAGTATAGCCGCGGAAACTGCTGACACACTCGAGTTTTGAACCCGGGACCAGTGAGCTAGAGATGACCGTCCTATCCACTGA